AGGAGGACAAGGTGCAGCTTGGAGAGCGGGGAGTGAGGGATTCAGAGAGGGAGAGAGGGAGAGAGAGAGGGTGAGAGTGAGAGAGCGAGCAACTCTGAGGCAGCTGCGTCTGGTGACTGGTGCCGAGGAGGACGAGGTGCAGCTTGGAGAGCGGGGAGTGAGATATAGAGAGAGAGTGTGAGAGTGAGAGAGCGAGCAACTCTGAGGCACCTCCGCCTGGTGCCGAGGAGGACAAGGTGCAGCTTGGAGAGCGGGGAGTGAGGGATACAGAGAGGGAGAGAGGGAGAGAGAGAGAGAGAGAGGGTGAGAGTGAGAGAGCGAGCAACTCTGAGGCAGCTGCGCCTGGTGCCGAGGAGGACAAGGTGCAGCTTGGAGAGCGAGAGAGAGAGAGAGAGAGACAGAGGATGACAGAGCGAGCAACTTTGAGGCAGTCGTGCGTGGTGCCGAGCAGGGCCAGGTGCGGGTTCGAAAGCGGGGAGTGAGGGATAGGGAGAGGGAGAGAGGGAAGGAGAGAGAGAGAGAGAGAGACAGAATGAGAGAGACAGCTAGGTGGCGCGCCGCCGCCGGTTGAAGCGCTTGGCAGACAAGGACGTCGTGGCCTGTGGCGGACAGAGAGAGAGAGAGAGAGAGAGAGAGACAGAGAGAGAATGAGAGAGCGAGCAACTCTGAGGCAGTCGCGCTTGGTGCCGCGGTGGGCGAGGTGCAGCTTGGAGAGCGGGGAGTGAGGGATACGGAGAGGGATAGAGGGAGAGAGAGAGAGAGAGAGAGAGAGTGAGAGTGAGAGAGCGAGCAACTCTGAGGCAGCTGCGCCTGGTGCCGAGGTGGGCGAGGTGCAGCTTGGAGAGCAGGGAATGAGGGATACAGAGAGGGAGAGACGAGAGAGAGAGAGAGAGACTGAGAGAGACAGCCAGGCGAGGCTCCGCCGCCGTAAGAAGCGCCGTGCAGGCGACGTATGGGGTTCGTGGGAGAGAGGTAGAGAGAGAGAGAGAGAGAGAGAGAGAGAGAAGCCCTTTGCCAGGCGACCGATGAGAGGCGGCAGGCTGATGTGGGCGAGCGGGAGGGGGGGCGACCTAAGCGTTGCCCCCCCTTCTGGGGGGTTCAGGTATTGGCATTTTTGTTTGTTGGTGATTACAGTTCTTGATGTTTTTTTGGTTTTAGGGTCGGTTTTTAATGCTTGAACGTCGGTTTTTAATGCTTGAACCCCCAGCGTTCGTGGCCGGGACAAGCGACCAGATGCGTAAGGAAGTTCGTGTATGCAAGTTTTAGTGTTGGTCTGAACATAGCTGTAAGGTTCGTGTTTGTAAGTACTTACGCATCTGGTCACTGGCGGGGCGGCCTTTATAACGACAACCGAGGGGTGAGGTTCTTAAAAAAGGGATCTGTCTTCTGTCGGTGGTGGTGGTGGTGGTGGTGGTGGTGGTGGTGGTGGTAGCGGTGGTGGTGGTGCTGGTGATGTGGTGCTTGTGGTTGTGGTGTGGTAGTGGTGTGAGCTGATATAGGAAACACATTGTAACAGAGTACAACATACCATAAGACACTACTCGATATTATGTACTGTTTGCGTAATAGGTCGTGGTGTGGCGGTGCTGGCGGTGGTGGTGGTGGTGGTGGTGGTGGTGATGCTGTTGGTGTTGGCAGTGCTGGTCCGGTGGTGGTGCTGGTGTTGGTAGCATGTCTTTGCTGTTGTGATTGTTGGTGTTGTCGTGCTTAGTTTGGCTGTGGCAGTTGTTGCTCTTGTTGCACTGTTGCGTGTTGTTCCCGGTGGGGCAAACCGGGTTACCAAACCCCCCCTGCTATGACGTGGGCCGCGGCTTGGGACACCGCGGCAGCATCCCTTCCCGCGGGAAGGGGGGCTGACCGTCCCGGGGCGTCTCTTGACGCCCAAAAGGTCGGGAGAGCTGTCGTGGCTAGGCGGTGGCGGTGGTGGTGGTGGTGGTGGTAGCACTCAGCATCGGACGTGCTTGGTTGACTGCCCTTGGGTCTGGGTGTACGTTCCGTCGAAACCGGAAGCCCTAAACATCGGGGCCTAAAGCCCTGACCAGGCCCTAAACCGAAAGCCCCAAACCTCGGGGTCTAAACCGGAAGCCCTAAACATCGGGGCCTGAACAACCCTTCAGATCCTGAAGGGTTTAGAACATCCTTTCAAATCCTGAAGGGTTGCTCTAAACCTTCAGGATCTGAAGGGTTGTCCTAAACCCTTCAGGATCTGAAAGGCTGTCCTAAACCCTTCAGGATCTGAAGGGTTGTCCTAAACTTCCTAAACCCTTCAGGATCTGAATGGTTTCCCTAAACCCTTCCCGATCTGAAGGGTTGTCCTAAACCCTTGAGGATCAGAATGGTTTCCCTAAACCCTTCAGGATCTGAAGGGCTGTCCTAAACCCTTCAGGATCTTGAGGGTTGCCCTAAACCCTTCAGGATCAGAATGGCTTCCCTAAACCCTTCAGGAATTGAAGGGCTGTCCTAAACCCTTCGGGATCTGAATGGTTTCCCTAAACCCTTCAGGATATGAAAGGTTATCCTTAACCGGAAGCCCTAAACATCGAGCTCTAAATGTCGAGGCCTGCCCCAAACAGGCCCTAAACCGGGAGCCCCAAACATCGGGGCCTAAACCAGGGCCCTAACGGTGACCGAATCCGCTTTGCTGCGACGGGGACCGCGGCCTGGGACACCGCGGCAGCATGTCTTCGCGCGGGAAGGGCGGCCGACCGTCCCGTGGCATCCGAGATGATCTAAAGGTTGGGCGAGCCGTCGCGACGCGCCTTCGAGGACACTTGACAGAGGGATGCGACCGGTTGGACATGTGCCGACGGTTACGGTGACGATGCTGATGGCGTGCGACGCGACGGCGAGGTGGGAGTGGTTCTGTTTTTCTTTCGCCCTGTGGGTTGGCGGCCATTTCGCGTCCTGCTGTTGTGCTCCTGGGTTGGGAGGCAAGAACGAGTCATGTGCTCCTGTCGCATCCACGTGGTGGAAGGTTGCGCGGCAGAAGCGTCTTCTCGTCCGCATGGCGACGCGGTTCCCGGCTTTGTGTCGACTAGATTTGTTTATTGGCGGCGGCTATTTGGTTGACGTTTGAAGCGGTGTTTGTGGATGCTGGAGAAGGCCTGAACGTGATCTTTGCATGTGTTTTCGCAATGAGCCGTGTGAGCGTATGGTCTGAGCTGTAGATGTAGCGCTCGGTTCGATGGGCTTTTGCAATGTTGTTCTTTTTAGATGATGCGCTCTGAGGTTGGTCGAGGATATGGTCTTTGCTGCTTGGGGGGCGCGGCTGGGAAGGGGTGCGTGATGTGACGACTGCATGTTCTCGCCCTGGGGTCGGCTCGCGGGACTGAGTGACATGTTGTGTTGTTATTCGCGTTTTTCGTTGACGTTTGACTCGGCTAAATGATAGCATTGTAGAATGGTAGAATTGTAGAACAGTAAAGTGACAGAATAGAACAGTACCGGAATAGTAGAATGGTAGAATAGTAGAATGGTAGGTGAGTAGACTGGTAGAATGGTAGAATTGTAGAATCGTACATTGGTAAAATGGTAGAATTGTAGAACGGTAGAATTGTAAAATAGTAAATGATAGAATAGAACAGTACCGGAATAGTAGAATGATGGAATAATAGAATGGTAGGTGAGTAGAATGGTAGAATGGTAGAATTGTAGAATTGTAGAATAGTAGAATGGTAGAATGGTAGAATTGCAGAATGGTAGGATTGTAGAATAGGAATATGAGAGAATAGAACAGTACCGGAATAGTAGAATGGTAGAATAGTAGAATGGTAACTGAGTAGAATGGTAGAATGGTAGAATTGTAGAATAGTAGAATGGTAGAATGGTAGAATAGTAGAATGGTAGGATTGTAGAATAGTAAAATGAGAGAATAGAACAGTACCGGAATAGTAGAATGGTAGAATAGTAGAATGGTAGGTGAGTAGAATGGTAGAATGGTAGAATGGTAGAATTGTACAATAGTAGAATGGCAGGATGGTAGAATTGTAGGATGGTAGAATTGTAGAATAGTAAAATAAAAAAAGAAACAGAAGACCACGCACGGTGTAAAACGCAAGCTCAATTTATGGGGTCTTGAGGGTTTAGGGTTTAGGGTTTAGGGTTTAGGGGTTTATAGAGGTTTGGAGTTAAAGCTGCCTCGACTCTTAATTACATTAGCCACGCCCGAAGCCTTGAGGAAGATGGACAGGTTCGAGCGAACGGTTCGGTGCGCCGTTTGTCGGCTTCCCCTTTCGGACTACCCATAGGCTCCATAGTATAGTTCCTTTTTGGGATTACCGTATAGGGCCTCATAGGGTTCTAAACATGAGCCCCAAAAAGGGACGACTATGGAGCCTGTATGGGTAGACATCTGCAGCTCAAAGATCATGGCTGGGGTTTAGAAACCACCCGGGAAGCGTGCCCAAACCTATCATGAAAGGCTCGTCAAGCAGGATTACTTGGAGGTTCATGGGTAGTTATAAGTGGGGGTTGTAAGTCCCCTTGTGGTTTATAGCTATAGCTACCCTACTTCCCTACTTAATTATAACTGCCCACGAACCTCCAAGTCGAGGCACTTCAGGGTTTGCGGGTTTTCGTTTGATGGCCAGGTTGAACAACACAGAGTGTTTTCCAGAAGTTTCCTGTATAAGCTGTTCTGTTTCTGCCCTGAAAGCCCTAAACCTCGGACCCCGAATCCCTAAAGCCCTAAACCTAAATTCCCACAATCTAAACCACGCAGGGACATAGGGTTCAGCCTACATCCTGCATCTTGGGAAGCCACTCCACCGGACCTGCATTATTCGACCCATGCTATCTGAATCCAGGTATACCATACTGTAACTCGGCCCAATCTCTATTGTATCAAAAAGCCCCATCGTCCCGTCCAGCAATCCCTTAAAAGAACCCCCAATGATAGAGGCCCCTATATAGTCCTAAACCCTAGACCCTAAACCTTTAACAGCGAAGACGGGCACCAGGTTGGTCCCTCGCTTGTTGTTCACCTCCCGTGGTTGTCACAGGATGAGTGGGAGAAGTGGAACTCTTTCTTCGACCGGGTGGACCAGGATGAAGATGGTTCTTGGGTGCATACAGTATTCGGGCTTTGGGTTTAGGCTTTAGGATTTAAATATTAGGGCATATCCCTTCAACCCTGACCTCCTAAAGCCCCAAAATCAAAGCCGAAAGCCATGGTTCTTCAGTGCATTGCATTCAGTCAACTTCTAGCGACCTCGAATTTACAGTTCCTTCTTCTGGCCGACCTAAAGTTAGAACTTTTGATCCTGTAACACTTAGGCCCTGTGCGCTAGGGACGAATCTAGACGTGGAAGCCCTCAAGGGATCGTCCGTAGGTAGCAGCGTTCGCTGAAAGGTTCTAGTGTTTTAAAAACAGAGGCCGGAATGAGTGCGAAAAACGTTCCTCAGGATTCCTTCTGATTTCGCTGTGATATATATATATATATATATATACATATATATATATATATATATTAGATATTACTATATATATAGAGAGAGAGAGAGTCATAGTCTAAAGCCCTGTTGTGACGATTGGCTCCTTCGCTGCGGCCAGCTCTCTCGGAGAGAAGTAATTACGACCTACTGACTTGGCAGTTCTCCCCAAAGCCCCCAAACCCCTAAAGGCCCTATACCCCTAAACCCTAAACCCCCGAACCCTTAACCCCCAAACCCCCTAAACCCAAAACCCTTAAACCCTAGACTCCAAATACTAAAGCCCCAAAGCTCTAAACCCTAAACCCCTAAGCAGCTAAAGGCGATACCGGCCGGATCTTCGAAGGGAAACCTGGTTGTTCCAGAAGTCTGAGGGTACTACCATGATGGAATTCGGTTCCCGAAACCATTATATACCAGGATGGTCTTTTGGGGCCTATTTCCATAATGGTAGTGGGTATGGACCCTCTTGGTAAGAATTTAGCCATCAAGCACGATCATGCCGTCGTTTTGTGAAGTGATACTTCTTGTCAATTTTCGTCAGGACGGCAGGTCCAATATGCAGAAACTAGACTCTAAGCCCCAAATCCGCAACGCTTTAGCAAAACAGCCCCAATCCCCAAGACGCGAAAGTCTCCCATCCTAGAATCCGACAACCCCGCCCCACACCCCCACCTCCGATACCAACAACTCTATAGACTAGACACTCCAACATCCCGTATTTCCCGATTACTTCTATCTTCAACCGGAGAGTGACCCTTTTTATGATCATTAACCCAAAGCCCTCTGAGCCTCAACCCCAAAGCCACTGCTTCAACTTCGCCCACGCTGGCACTCAGGTTTCATCTCGGCAGAGGAACTGCGAGCCTGCAGCAGCTCGAAGCAATAGCGTTTTGGGTTTAGGGTTTGTGTAGTTCTCTAAACTAGGGCTTCCTTTTAATTTCAGGTTCATGTTTATAACGGTCCGAAAACGGAACCTTAATTTGGAGAACTACTCTTCGAATGGGGTTTCTTAAGGGGTTCATCTAAAGAATCTGAAGGACCAAAAAGCGTTCTGGAACATAGGGGGCTTTGTTGACTGGAATGGAGTAGTGGGGTTCATTGCGCTGACCTAAACCCTAAACCCTAAACCCTAAACCGCTGTATGTATGTTCAGGAAGTCTCACTCTAAAGCAAGCGTAGATGTAGGCTCCAGGGCTCTTGAGGGACTCTTTGGTCAGTTCCGCTTGCGGTTTACTATTGCTTGTACCGGGCCCCCAACAGCTTGTATGGTTTGTCGCTTCCTTCAGAGGAGAGTGGAGTATAAACTTATGTGTGGTGCTGCTGAGCTCCTGTGAAGGACTTCCAGAAAAGTCACACTAACATAGTTTTCTACTGGATCTTGAAGAGATCTATGTTTACCTCAAGCTAGACACAATGCTCCACGTAATCGCACGCTACAGAAACTAGAGTCGTCCGCTGTGCACGCCCCTGTAAGCTCCGGTTCATCCATCGCCCTGGTGCTTAACGGATGCCAAGTCCCTGGATGCCGTAGCCTATCAGCGGTTGGGGGATCAACTTGCTTGCCTTATTGTTGTAACTAAGGGGTTGGGAGTTTGGGCTTACGGTCTGGGGTTTTTGGGGCTTCCTGCTCCGACAGCCGCGGACAACATCAGCACGATCATCTTTGGCCAACTTATACAACGGGAGCATGGTACAAGACTTGCTGAAACACTTGACTGAAATACTTGGTCTATACAATAACTACGCCTAATTCTATATCCCATCAGAATGGCTGCCAGACACCTCAAAGCAGAAGAGCTTACTGGAAGTTTTTGTCCTTTTTGGAATAGCTGAGGCAAGGCTCTCCACTCCGGCAGCGCTTGCACCTCGCCTCGCTCTACCCATAGGCTCCATAGTATATACTTCCTTTTTGGGGTTACCGTATAGGATTCGAAGTATGACCCCCCAAAAATAAGGAACTACTATTGATCCTATGGGTACGTACATGGAGCAGTGGGTTTGTTTGCCTGACCTACGACTCCAAGTATACAAACAGGTCTTGCTGTGGGGTATAAAGTCCACTTTGGGCTAGTTGCAGTCTTGGGGTAATGACCCCTCTGACTGTTCCTGCTGCTGGTACTACTTCGACTGCTAACGTACTGCTGTTACGACTACTACTACGACTACGATTGCGGTGACAAGGATGGCTGCAAGAGCAACTAGACACAGACATCGAATATAAAAAGATAACAAGGCAATTTTGCCTTACTTGACAAAGGCGAGCTTCTCCTGGCCGTCCTCGATCCACAGATGAGGTGGGGAAGAAGGGGCCGAATTACCAATTCAGGGTGTCGGTGTGAAAGGATTAACGGTTGTGCAAGGCTTGCTTTGGCTTAGGGCTGCAGGCAGCAAGGGGCTGTTGACAATACCACAATACGACTCATGATGCTGATATACCCGAAGCAACTGATGCTGTCAACATTCTGGGTTACGCGAGTGCGAGCACGAACAGAAATCGTACTCCTGACTCTCACAGGCTCGATTTACGGCCCCTACTAATATAGGAACCTGATTAAGAAGCCCTGGACCTATAACCCCAAAATATTAGGATTCATATAAGGAACCCTAATAAAGGCCCAAGGTTTCTTAATCAGGTTTCTGCATTAGTGGGATTGCCGGCTAAATCAACAGTCCAAACTGGTTCAAGTTTGAAGCACCTCCTACATGTTACGCTGACTACATGTTCAAAAGGTTTGGAGTTCCCTGAACCCTAAACCCCGAGCTCTGAAGTCCCAGGGTTCAGGGATTGGGTTTTAGGGCCTAGGGCCTAGGGGTTCCAGGTTAAGGGTTTACCCATAGGCTCCATCGAAGTTCTTTTTTGCGGCTGATATTTAGAATCCTATAATTATAAGGTAAACCCAAAAAGTAGCTGCTATGGAGCCTATGGGTAAGGCCTAGGGTTTACGGCCAAGAGCGAAACAGCCGAGCAAGCCATGCCTCAACCCTTGCAATCACGATATCTGCAACACAAGCGTGAGAGAGTCAGTCACAGCAAGGCCTTGCCAGCCAAAGCAATGTAGGAACCTGATTCAGAAACCCTGGGCCTATAACCCCAAAATAGTAGGAAGTAAAGGCCCAAGGTTTCTGAATCAGGTTCCTACAGTAGGGTTCACACCGTGTTTTTGCCACACTTACGCTGCGGCAAGGTCGGTGTGGTTGTGTGCACGCATGTATGTACGCTTGCATGCATGCATGAGTGTATGTATGTATGTATGTATGTATGTATGTATGTATGTATGTATGTATGTATGTATGTATATACGTATATGTATGTACTTATGCAGATGTAAGCATGCATGCGTGTGTGCTTGCATTGATGTGTGCGTGTGTTCGTGGTTGTTTCTGTTGCTTGCTTGGGTGTTTGTGGCGTATAGTTATGTTTGCGTGTCTGTATGCATGCATTCCTGGACGGGTGGATGGATGGATGGATGGATGGATGGTTGGTTGGATGGAAACCAAAGTGCATAGCAATACATATTGTGTATTATGAATTTACTTGGCTTTGCTCGCTGCTCTCAGTATCTCATAGCCATCCTACAAGCCCTAAACCCCATAAACCCTGTCCCACCATAAACACTAAATCCCAAAACACTAAACCCAACCCACACTCGAACAAAGTGGGCCTACCGGGGATGCTCGAAAAGGTCCGTTGCACTTTCAAAGAAGAAAGCCCTACGAAGGCATTTAGGAAGCACTGATTTCTGCAATGCTTGGGAGGGATCCGCACAAGCTTCGCCCAAACTTATGTAGGGTGAAGGGTTCAGGGGGCAGAACCACACGACTCACTTAGCTAAAGCGCCCGAAAGCCTAAACCCTAAACCATGGAAACTTAAAAACCCTAAACAATTGAACTTCAAGGTAAACCCTGAAACCTAAAATCTACACTGTAAAGCCCCGAAGCCTTACATCCTGAACCCTACAACCCTACTTGGAGGATCAGGGGACTTAGTAGGTTAGGTTATAGCTACCTTAATTGGGGTTATAAGTAGTTATAAGTTCGGTTACCTCAATTATAACCGTAGTTACTAACTCCCATGATCCTTCAAGTAACCCCTAGACGAAAGAAGCGCGAGGGCCCAAATCTCTCGGGAGCTCTATCTCGAGACGCTGCTCAAGGCTGGGGGGGGTTTAGGGTTTATGGTTTAGGGCTGCAGGTCCAGAGAGTATACCAGAGATGATCGTATATAACTTAATGTAACCGCTCGAAAAAGAATACATGTATATTATATATACCTGTATACACATATAACATTCGGGAGCCCTGATGTTTTGGTATCCCGGCCTTTTGGTGGTTCTGCTCGGCAATGATCGAATCTGCAAGGGTTTAGGATAAAGGAGTTAGGGCATAGGGTTTAGGGCCGAGGGTGTAGGATTTCAGGAAAGCGCCTAAGATTGGTTCCGACAGCTCACCCTAAACCCTGAACCCTAAACCCTAAACCCTAGCAGGCTCCCGAAGGGACTCTCCAGGCAACGCCCCAAAGCCTAAACAAAAGTTTCGGCTTCTGTTGCCCTGGGAGGTTTAGAAACTCTGGCTTTAGGGTTTAGGGGTTTAGGGTTTAGGTTGGGAGTATGACTTTACACCCAAAGCTCTGAAACCATAAAGCTCCAATCCCGAATCACGGCTTGTGGAGTAAGGTTTTGTTTTCAGCATCAGCTGATTTTTGCAGGGCAAGGGATGCCTTTGTATGGGATTCACTGGCTGGCATGTTCGTACTCACAGACAGACTCTACGACTCTGCGGTTTAGCGTTCTGGGTTCAGGGTTTAGGGTTCAGTATTTAGAGTATAAGCTCTAGGAGCAAATCCAGGGTTTAGGGCAGTTCGTGCCCATGGACTCACTACATAATATGGCATAGTACCACACACTATTTGGGTTATTTCATATTGAATTCAGGCCGCTGTACTACCTCCCTTCGAAATCGTTTTAGATTTTTTTGTGGCATCCGCGGAAATCAGCGCACTGGAGCAATGTTTGGGGTGTGCAATATAACAACCCGAAGTATGGAGGCACAAAGTTGCATATACTTGCCATAAGGCTCCATTCCGGAAATGTTACATATATATATATATATACACACATATTCATAATACATTTATATATATATATATATATATATATATATATATATTTGGTACCCCCCCCCAGGACCAACCTCGACCATTGTCCCGCTCATAACTGTCTTCACAGCGTCATGGATAAGAGCCGAAACCACTGTAAATACCGATGGGGTGTTTGTGTTCCCGTACAAAGTTTGCACTCTCGACGCCTCTTGACAGACTGGTAAAAAACAGGGTTCAGTTTTATGGACACCATTTACACTCTCGGGGCGTCTTGTCGGAGTGGTAAAAGACAGAGTCCAGTTTGTGTGCCTCATCCTTTATTCATTATCGTCATCTTGTCAAAGTATTATTCTTAGTTTCAGTCTTAAAAAACAGTGTTAACATTGGTCTTGACTTAATTTTGTTCTAAGTTTTAACCTTAATTATTGTGAGTAGTAGCCTTAAAATTTTCGCTAGCGTTAGCATTATTATTAGTTTTGTGTCATTACTAACTTTAGAAGTTCTAACAATGCTGCTGGTATCTGTCCAATATTACTGTTCGTTTGATTAATGTTCCTGTTAGTGCTGATGCTGGTGTCAGTGTCAACGTCAGTGTAAGTCTTGATATTAATATGAGTATTAGTGCTCCAGTTTTAATTTAATATATGTCTATAGCTGCGAACGGACTGCGATGCCTTGTCAAGTTCTAAGGTGTCACTATAAGAGCTGTGAGCAAGACCCTGTAGAGTGCAAGAGAAGGGGGCACGCTACGCGTCCCTCGACTCTAGGAGTAAGCTTGTGGACGTGC